GTTCAAAACTATTTTCAAATGATAATTTTCCGAGATAGAGAAAACACACACAAAACTGGAAATAAACTTGGACAATAACGAATGAAGAAGTTTCAGATTACAAATGACAAAACTTGAGAAAATTAGCGAACCTTTTCAAGGTACATCCAACTCCTCTAATCACTGTTCAGAACCTATATTTTCACTCAACCAGATAAAAGATATTCACAATGCGTGATCACCCTGAATGGTGATGGGAATCCCTAGAACTAAAAATGGATGCGATCATCCCACCAGAGAGCGGGAATCCCGCAGGATATCAATTAGGCAAAGACCCGGTGAAACTTAGCACAAGACTGAACTCACCTTTTTCCTCTTCCTGTTCCTCGATAAGTCTCAAAATCTGCGGGTGCATGGCGCTGACAGTTTGAAATAGAGACTAAAGGAAAACAACAAGAACAAGTCATATTTAGTGTGAAAATTTATTGAACTCGTACATCATACTACTACATCGATCTACTGTACTTGTGTATCATCATTATTGGTGTCCGAAATTAGTCGAGGGGTGTTTTCCCATAGCTAGCTGACAGACCGACATATTAAAAAGATTTCTGATTGACTGATTGACCCACTTTTTTTCAAATAAGACTATGGTTAGTGCGTTCGACTCCACGTCAAGTGGTCCGGGATCGGGCCCTAGCTGACGGATCGAAACCCACCAATGACTGATGACAAACTTTACACGAGTCTTTCAGCCAATACCATCTGGCTATACTGACCAATCACATTCAACGGACCAGACTTATAACATCATCGACTGACAAACACTATTCACTTGACTCTGAAGATGACTTCCGCTNTGTGTATAACTGGGAACTGACGAATTTAATTCCTGGGGGGTAACCCCACGATGGACTAGCATTCCATCCAGGGGGGAGTAGAAATACACCTAGTCGCTTCATGCCACATAGAAACTGGAGATAAGCGCCGGTCTGATGGGCCACTTGGATCGTATACAAACTTTGTGTACCATTCCCTTGTTTTATACCCCTCCGCCCCCTCCCACCCCTTCCCCCTTAGTAAGAAGATTATTTCCAAGGAGAAACATCGATCAGTCTTCAGAACTAAAGGTATAAAGAGTTAAGAAGACAAAAGCAGAAACGCCGGTGAAAATGGAATTGAGAAACCAACCTGCACTGTAGCATCCATAGCGATGTGTTTTCCCTGACCAGAGACTTTCTGCATTCGTTCAAGTAACATCTCAACGTTACCTTGAAAGGTTTTCACCATAGCTTCTGATACTTCTGACGTAGGTGAATTCACACTATCCAGCTGGCAGAAAGATCAAGAACGCGGACAAACTCCATCAGGAAGACTTCAAATTTGACAAAGGCCGGGGTTGTTTAGTTTAAATGTGCACGGTACAGTTTACATTTAACTTACATACCCTGAAGGGTTAAATTCATTATTGTGATTGGTCCTTTAGTGCCATGTGACTTAACCTGTGATGAATGATATGGATCTGGCTCTTGATTGGTCACTTTATCATTCGCTTTTATTGAGTTTTATGTTTATATTAACGTTATACTTGTTATTCTACATTTAGGTTAAATGCGGTGCAGATTCAAATTAGTTCATTTGTGTGTTAAAAAGAAACTCATTTAGCGGTTAAAATATGTAACTGTACTCTTTATACTTCTCAACAGCCTCATGAATTATGACATGAAAAACCCACCCATCCCAACAAGCGGTCAAAATGAATCTACAGGTATCAGAAAGAGGCATTACTAAAGGTTTCGCCTGCAGTCTTAGCATAAATGATTTCCACAACATCCTGTTTCCATTGCACTTCTCCTACGTTCTGTTTAGTTCTTAGCGAGGAAATAAAGCCTTGCGCTAGGACTAAAACAAGTTTTTTTCGGATATGGTCTCTTTAGATGAGTTGAGACAAACGAACAAAAGCTAGTGTTCCACATTTCAACCTGTTAACAATGAGTTTCTGGTGTTAATATCGACAAACAGCAAGTGAAGCTGGTATTAACCGTGGGTTCGGAGTTTTCTCGTTGCAGTTTCCTTCCCTTCTTTTTCTTTTTTCCTTTTAATATCCCAACTTTCATCTACAATGAAACACAGTCCCTTTTTAGCTTTTTTTATGTTACAAACACCGCTACTTTAGGTTATTAAAAAAGGTTAGGTTAATATGTTGGTTGAAATAAGTAGTAGGCAATTTACAACCATCAGTGAAAGTCCACACTTAACACGATTTGTGGCGTGTGTTTATTCAAATCCGACATGTCTAAATATCTCATGTATGGTGAGCTCAGCATTAAATCAAAGCAATTAACTGAAACTTAAATGAAAACCATATAGTTTTATTTCAAAGCAATGAAAATCAAACTACGAACAAACAAAGCTGGCCAGCTTAAGACTGCTTAAAGTGACACTAAGTCTATGCAATGCCCTGAACTACAGCTATTCTAACAGTTGAGGTTGAGTTCAAAGTTTATTTAAACAAGGTAGGCAGGAAAAAGTTGTTTAATGTTTGCAATTTTGAGCAGCATTGGCTTTAGAGTTAGTTAGATTTGAGGCTGAATTTTTTAAAAACTTATTTTATGACAGAATTCTTAGTACCATCTCTAGATCTCCCAGCCATTAACATTTGTAAACACGATAGTATGTTTAGATACTCTGTCACGGACATGCAATGAGAAGAATAATGCTAAGGAATGACACACTGCAACCTTTGCTTCTCAGAATACAGACAACCGTGGACACAAAGTGTCCTCATAAAGACAAGCTGGGCTAAGTCCTTTTAATAATTAATTAACTGAGTACTTTATTTCCACTTGTATAAAATAAGTACACACTTGCCAATAGGAAAATAATGTTTATGAGGATTTGCCAAAAACAACAGTTACATATTCCTAGATTGTTACTTTTCATTGCCGAGTTTAAGAAGATCTCTACATATTTCAAAAGTATTATTTTTAAATATTGACAAAGTTTAGTTACCTCAGTGGAATTGTTAGCAATTTGTGTTTGTTCTGGTGCACTGGCAGGTGGACTTGATCTTTGTCTTGAACTCTGCCTTTCATTTCTCTCCTCCCAGTAAGACCGATTGAGATATCGTGCAAGCTTTAAGTGGAAAGTAAAAGATTTACATTAGGTACATCTATCCTTGACTTGTCAGCACCTACCCATTCAGTGGCAAAGGAGAAGTCTGATGCAGCTGAAAGGATAGCCAACAGCTAACAGAGCACTCAAGTTACTGGAACCTGTACAAACCATTTTCTGTAATGCGAACATAATAAGGACACTGTAACTCTCCTACTATTGAGTCCAATTCACAAATTGTTGGTCTCAGTTGTGGATTTAAAAAAGTGGTCACATGATGTTGAATTTGATGATCATAGCAGAGCTCCTGCACACGAGCGGAGCCCCGTACCTTAGAAAATTTGGTAACATATCAATCTAAAAAATTTCGCTTGTCACGTGACTGTCCGTACGTACGCCGATACCATAGCTACATCTTTGATTTTGGACATCCATGTTATGGTTANCAACATTTTGCTCTTTATGAGCAGCAACAACCAGCTGATTTTAGAACATTAATGGTAGTAACTCATGATCAACATACCATTATTGTCAAGTAGAGAGCATACATGTATTAAAATAAAAGAAATAATCAACATCAAATTCTCCAAACTATCATTAAACAAACTAAGGACAATCAGTAAGGAGATCTGAACATACATCCTTAGCAGCCTCTTCCTGTGACAGTGATAACGCCATGGCCAGCTGTAACTCTTCCTCTTCTTCATCTCGAATTTCTTGTTCAGATTTCTTAGCTGGGACCTATAAGCAAGTCAGAGTACAACATGTAATGACACAGTTACAATATCATACCAGATAGGTTCTTAACAAACATTTACCTTCTTCAGAGATTTCATTAGAAGCCAGGGACTGCACAAAGTGCCAAGCTATGAACTTGATTTTTCTTTATCTGCTTACAGAATGCAAATTGCCAGCCATGTGCTTGTCTTTCATTTTCAGTTATGCTCATTGTAAATTTTTCTTTTTTGCATAAAAAGTGAAATTTTTTTTAAACCAAAACCTTGACTAGCTAAAAAGGAATTTCACTAATTAATGTTAGAATGTTTCATCTTTTAATCTCCTATTCTGTAACATTTATCAATGACCATGTACTAATTACCACTAATCAGGGCTCAAAAAAACTTGCATTCCATCTTGCCCTTCAGACCAGCAGCTCTCAACTTTTGCTTGCCCTGGGCAAGTCTTCATTTACTTTTATTGCTATTTGGTCGACAGAAGACTTGCCTGGGCCCATACCACTCGGGCAAGTGAGAATGAAAGTAACTTGCCTGGCAGGAACATGTACTTATCCAAGACAACTGGAGAGCCCTTTTTTCAAGCCCTGCTAATACATGTGATTTGCAATCTGGTATTTGGGAATAATATACTGGTAAATGCTTTGTGATCAGTTAATCCTCACCTGATTTTCACGGCTCAGAGGGCTGTTAAGATATTCCGCTGGCAAATCAGAATCTGAAGATGTACTGTCAGACTTCTTACTAGAGCTTTCTTCACTTTTCCTACATTAGCAATGATAAACAAAAAAAATATGAATGGAGTTGAGCAGAATAAAATAATTCATGTGATTGTCAGTGGTAAACAAGTAATTATTTGCAGGTTAAAAAGGTTTCATTTGCTGATTGATCAGTGAGCTTGGGTTTACATTAACACATTGAAATACTGGGAAAAAGGCATGCTACGTTTGTTTTATATAATTTTATTTTCATGGAGGTGGATATCTACACAGAGTATTAAGGTGCAAAATGGTGCAGGGCCACCTTACATTTTCAAATATTTAAGGTGGCTCTGAACTCTCTCCTTAGAATTTTTTTTAAACTGTAAAACGTTTCATCTTATCATGCTTAACACAATTCAAAAATAAAAAAAATGTGTCACCATACTTGGTTTTGAGTCAGAATCATTTAAGGATAAAATCAAGGATGTTTTAACAGGTTGTACTGTTGCTATGTTAATATAAAGGGGATGACCACAACTTGTTTTCCAATGACTGGGCACTGGTGTGGTACAGTTATTGTAGGATCATATGACAAAGACTGGTTGTATTGATCCATCAAGGAACAAGTATAAGTGATTGTCAGCCACTTATAATAACTGTACAATGACCTTCTGGCTGATGGCCAAATTGTGCAATTGTGCAATGTAGAATGCTTTCTTACCCTGCCGATGGATTGATCTTGTAAAAACATGGATCACAGACCCGTACTTCTCTTTCTATGCCATATTGTGGAATAATAGAAACTTTAGAAGAACACTTCTGGCAAAACACTTGGCCACAATTCCTACAGTGGTGCTGAATATAACAAAAGAAGAAAAGAAATTAAAGTTAATCATCACTATAACTTCTTGCCAGTCCCACATTCACAGTTACAAGATTCCATCAAACTGGTTTGAGTTCAAATCACAATCATGATTATCATAATTCACTTAACATTTTCTTACATTTGTCTAGCAGATTCATTCAAGCCACAACATACATATTTCTACTTTTTAAGCGAAATAAAATCAACACATTAGTCTGTGTTCTAAAAGCTAAACAGAGCTGTACCTATTGCAGCTACTGTTGCAAAACTGAAAGTTCAAGAAAACAGAGATAATAATATTATTCATTTAGGTACTTATTGAGGCTTACAACCGCATACAACCCTGTACCTGTAGTTTGTAAGGACATCAATATATCAATAAATAAATAAATACTCTTTGTTCAGCATGATAAATGCACCAATCTTCAAGGTTATCACAGTTATCAGGTTTCACAAAATTATTTTACTCTTAATTTCTTAAAAGAAGCCTCTTCTCCACATTGCTTACCTGTCTTTGAAATGTGGAGAACTTGACTCTGCACATGTGACAAACATCACCCTCCGCCCATTCTGGGGCCTGACAAAAGGAGGATACAATGATAGCAATCATATAGATGCCAACTCTAACACCTTACATGTGAGCCTCACACCTACAGATCAAAACCTTTGGTCTTATGTCTGCCAATCACTGATATCTCATGCCTAGCTCAAAAATTTGAGTTCTTACAACCTTAACTGACACACTTTCAAAAAGTATTGACACTCAAATTAATGCAAGAAGAAAAAAGTCCACATAAATGATGATACATCTACATGTCTGTTAGTTCTCTGATTTTTAAGAGAAAAGTACTGGCCAAGGGTCATTTCATTGGTGAAATGCATCCTAAGAACCTTCTTGGAAATATTTGGCAGTCTTCAGATGTGTTCAGGTCTTGATAAAGGTGAAATGTTTATTTGTCATTGGTGTGTGAAGGGACAAAGAAAAAACTGTTGATCCCCAAAAGGAAATTTTGAACTCATGACCTTGCAGATACCAGCTGAACACTCTAACCACTGAGCCACAGAGAGACTCTTGCTGAGCTACACTGCAGGCCATTTACTTGACTCATAACACTGCATACTGTTTGGAGCAGCAATGTCAAAAGCATCATGTGTGTGAGAAATAATGAAAGATGGTAAATTTTCAGCTAGGTGAACAAAAAGATGAATGATAAAGATGACATATTCAGGTCTTATTTGAAAATCCTGACACTCCCAGGATAACAACCCTTATGCCTGCAACTAAGAAAAGATTGGAAAGCACATAATTGTACATATATTTAATCAATAATAGACCAATTTCGATATATTAAAATTCAGCCTAAAACAATAGACCTCAGCACGAGGCTCTGGGTAATAATTACAGAATTTGTGGGGTTTATTCCCTGGAGCCTCATGCTGAGGTCTACTGTTTTAGACTGAATTTTAATATATCGAAATTGGGCTATCATCATCTCACTTTTCTCATATCCTACACTCATGGAAAAATACTAATTAACTGTTATTTATTTTGTGTTATCAATCACACACTCTAAACTTACTGTTTCTGCTGTGAACAAGGCATCACTTGACTCGTTCATGGAAGGAAATTTATATCCTATTCAGAGCACAAGACAAAGAGAAAGTATGTCATTAATTGTTATGTGACAGATAGTGAAAACCCAGAACTTGAAAAAGCAAGAAAAAGCTATTAAGCATCAAGAGTGAAAAGACTGGCAACGATGACAATCAGACATTGAACTCTAACTCCATATTGAGCTAGAAGCTGAAGAGAATTCTGGATATTCATAATTTGTAAAGTGTGGATGTATATACAGCCAGCTCCAGTGACCAGCTCCAGCACCTACTTTGTCACCTGGGTTAAGCATGGGAGCATAGCTACAATCACAATGCTGATAAGGCATTGTATCTAACACAATTTAATTAGCCCCTTTCTCCACGGATCATGCCTCACCTTCCATTCTCATAAGATTAAATGTATCTTGAACAACTTTGTATTTTGGCTCTTTGCGAAATGCAGTTGACCATGTCTGAATCATGCTTAGAATTTGCTCCTTGACTGGTTCTGGGCTGGTCTAAAAAACAAAGCGATCAGTTACAAGAGTTTACAAATACATAGTCAGCCCTACATTAAAAAGTAAACCCTCAGAATATATATTTAAGTTTACACAGGCTCAGTAAAGACATCTGCCATTTAATATGAGAAGATTCCATAATAATATTATTATTTAGAGATAATATTGCAGCTACAATTCATGAGTTTGAGCTTTGAAAAACAAATTAATAAATATCTCACTGTCGCTATAAAATTATATTTTCTGCTGTCATTATTTTCACTGATTTCATACTCTGCAGTTAATTTGTGAAATGATTAATAATTATTATTGGTGATAGATTTAAACATTATTTTTCATTGGTTTTAGCCTGATACTAACCTTAGCCAGTTCTCTAAAGAAATCCATAATATCTTTTGTAGCAACCTCTTTGTGCATGGGGGCTCCACAATTCTTAACACATGCCTCTAAAACCTTGAGAGTGTTATCAAGAAAATCAATGTACATGTACAAAGTTAGTATGAAAAAAGCTTAATTCTCCCTTTGACCTGGCTCACACATGCGAAACTTAGTAAAAAAACGTTACTATCAATCTCAGACAGCCATTGATGCATCACTTGTATCATTCCACAGTTCCAAAACACTGATCACTGATCACTGATCACTGATCACTAATCTCTGTTGCTTTGGAATACAGCCATCAAGCACTGGCCAAATTTTCTTGAATTCCAGATAAAGCCCTGTCTTCTCCCAGTTGGTAGAGCTTTTTTTGCATGAAAATGTGGCCTGCGCAGGACATCAGTAGCTGCTGCCAGTCATGGCAGCACCTGAAGAATTTGCTTCATCATCGGGTTTCAACCACCCCTCTCCCCTACAAATGCAGCCTTTACTTCTTTTACCTGACTCGTGAACTTTGTGATATTGCATACGTGTACAATCATGAGACTATCTGTATGAAATTCTATTTCACAATGTCTCTCTCATGGTACTAGTCTTTGTAGTGGACTGTAACATTTAACGTTTTTTGAGTCTAACTGCTCATAAGACTGCAAGTACATATCAAAAACATAGTGCAGCTGGAATGTGAGAGTATGCAGCTGTACTTGTTCTTGGAATAGACCCTTGGCCTTTGCATGATTTCTCTGAAGCCTTCAAAAGAACGTCTGAGTACTACAGACTACTGAGCAAAGTAGAAAATGTCTGTAATTCAGGATCAACATTCAAGCTGTATTAACTGTTTGAAAAGGATTCCGAGTCACACATTGAGAGGCGAAAGATCTGTGGCTGCTTGGAAGTGTTAGGGTTTTGCCAAGGTTGTGTTAAGTTTTCGATTGGTGCACAAACTTTCATAATTTTAAAAACTAATAGCGATAAGTAAAAATTCTTAATTTAAAATCAATATAAGCTTATGCTCACGATCAATCCAAATTTCGCAACGTGAGGGTTCTTGTCGTATATCTTCCTCTTCATGGCTGCCATTGCGTATTTAGGGCTGAAATTCGACAGACATAAAATGACTTTAATATAAGCTTAAGCATGCACGCAAAAAAGAAATTATTGTAATAAGACTTCCCTAATGTTTATTGTGAAGTTCTTGTTCACAATTCACGAAATTGTTATGATTAACTGCAAGGAATTTAAAATGACGTTTGCTTACATGACATCTTCTTGTCTTATACAGTCACAAATCTGAAGAATGCTATTCCAGTCTGGTTCTAAAAGAAGTTGGCTCGTTGCTTTTTCTAGAACAAGATTCAAGTATAAACGAACAAAGTTGTGAGTTACTGAGCTTCTACCAAAAAAATCAGCCGAGATTCAAAGACGAAGCTTCATGTTTCGATTCCAAGATTTAGCCATAGAAAACACTTACCAAGTAGAGAATCAAACGTTGAAGAATTTGAAAATATCCCCATCGTTAAAACCGATGAGAAACCGGCAAAAACCGCGCAAAATTCAACCAAAGTTTATTCCTCGTCAACAGCTAAAGACTTTGGCCAAGATGGCGGACTTCTATTAACGTGACTTCCGAGTGAGTGACGTCGTTGTGACCAAAATAGACATTACTTAGTCTCCGGAAGTTAGTATTTTTCTCCCGGCCAAAGCTGACTCACGATTGTTTGACGAAGGTAACCGGTATTTTAATTAAACCCTGCAAAAACACGTAATCGCCACAACAATATTTAAGAACAATGCAATTTCAATTTATATTCAAATAAACTGACAAGAGCAAAAATCATTTTTTAAAGGCTTAATTTTTCCCAGCTTGTGAACCCTCCCGACAACTCAAGTCGAAAAACATCGGCCAGTCGTCGCTTGTGTAGCATTTTCGCTCTATACACCAATCGAAAGCCCTTTCAAGGGCAACCTTTCCTCGTTATTTTAGGACGCTCTCAGGTTATGTTTCGAAATACAATTTATATAGCAATGTTATTTTTAAATAAATTTTTAGGGACTTCTGAGTGTAAATAAATAACGATTTGCATTACAGCCAAATTTCTTTCTTCTTTCTGCTTCTGAAGTGAAACATAGAAAGCAAACTCTCTAGAACTGGGGCAGGGCCAAATTGATGAACAGACTCCCAGCTCAAGGAATAGTGAAGAAATACAACGTAGATATAGAGGGATTAAGGGACTGGTTTCGGCTTTCCATCACTGAACTTCCTACGAGCGGTCAAACTTCTTCATACTCAATAACTGGACAGATGTGACGAGAACAGATAGTACAAATTAAATCAGGGACATCAGGGCTGTCTTGATATACCACCAAAATTTCACAAGTAACATTAAAAGAAACGTTTGGAAAACAGCGGGTGAAAGTAAGGGGCAGGATTTCGGGAGCGTAATAAGCGGCACAATAGAACGTCCAGTGTGAATATACGCTTTTATTTTCTTTCTCTATTGTATCTTCGCTGATGTTAATATGAGTTATTTATTTCGAGATGTGCATTAATAAAACTTGAATTTGTATTCTAACAGCCCATTCCACAGACTTGCCATAAAGTGTACTAAGAGCCGTTAACCTTGAAGACGCTGGAAAACAATACTACATGTAATACAAGACAGTTATTTCTCTAAAAACGCTCGGTTTTCTTTCATACGAATATCATTCATTTCGCGATCTCAATAATCATGGATCAATGTGATGTGTGCTTCCGATGAATGAATTTGTAAAATATTTCTCAAAAAAAGGTTAGCGCTTTCTATTAAGTGTTGACAAGAGTAGCCCGTAACTGGTTAAAAAAATACTCATTTAATGGGCTACATCTAACCAGAGCAAACGTCTGTTTTTTTTAACGAATCAGGAGCAGAACCAAAACCAATGATGATTTGGTTTACGCCCGTTTTCCCAGGCTTGGCGCCGGTTGCGCGTTTCTACTTGCAGTTGTGATTGGCCTTTATTGCGTTACTTGCGTTTGTTGTGATTAGATAGATTTTAGTTTCACTTGTTATACATGCAAGACACCGAAAACTGGCATGGACCCTTGAGATTCTAGCAATGCTTTACTTTACTGACCAACTTCGTCATGAAGCCTCTTTGGAAAGTCATTATTCACAGCAATACAACAACTTCAGAAACATAAAGTATTTGTTTTAATTTTCCTCTAAATCTTTCTGGCACCCGACCACAAGCCTTCGTCGAATGACCGCCCTTGTGCATTCCATTTATTACCATTTTAAAGTGGCCATTTGTCATGGCAGCGACTGTTATTTTCCTGTAAAAGACGAAAAGGAAGGGTACCTTAACATTTGTAAAATTATGTTTAATTAGAACGTTAAATGCTTGGCAGCATACGTCGTTCACTGGCTTACAATTCCTAAAGGTCTCCTATGTTTCACATGGGTGCACAAACTGTCTTGTCCAGGACTCTCGTATTTCTTTCCCAAGAGCTCCCATATATTATTATCTAGGGTAGTTTAGTGTATCTTCCGCGGGAGACTACAATACTCTACCCGGGGATATCGTTTGTGTTTCCCTTAAGTCTGCTAAGAGTTTTCAGAATAAATAAGGGCCTTACTAACACGTAAGCTTCGAAATATTCGCCCAAAGGTCGAAAATGATAAGAGGGATAGGAACGATTCTCGTTAAATACGTGTAAACCTCTCCAGACTTATCATTTGCAGTATCTGGAAACACTACCTGTACCATGTAAACAGCAAAAACCTGGCAGGACAGACATTAAAATGAGCTACTTAAAGCTTGTACTGATTTTTGGAAAGGTTTATAAAAAAAAATAGAATAACGATATTTCCTCGTGCCAGCAAATAACGTATAAATTGAAATCTTTCTCCATTCATACCTGTTCCTTTAAACCACTTGGGCACAGCGCCTTTACTGGCGCCTCCTGTGCGAGGTCTGTTAGTGGAGGCCGGATTTAGTCCCTCGCGTGGCCTATCCGGGACACCAGCCCCACCTAGAGAGGTTCCTGTCTGTTCGTTATCATCCACTGTGGACGAACTTACAAGAGAGTCTCCGATATCTGGTCTTGAGCTAGAACGAACAGATAACACCCTGGAAACGAGAAGCAAAGTTCATTCAGTACAGAAGTCATGTGTGCTTGTATTAAAAACGTTTTCTCTTTTCCCTCGTCTTACCCTGTATCAATAACAGCTTTCTCAGCATCTAGAACTGTTGACAACTTGTCTATTAATCTTCTAGCGAGGAAGTGTTCTAAAGAGAGAAGCAGGTCTATTGATTAATTTGGACATCTCTTTTGGCACGGGTTTCGACGGGGAATTAAAAATAAACCGCTTCTTTATCCTCTTGTTTATTTTATTGAATGACCTCCGAAAGCAGATCTTCAGAGAATATTAGCACCCCCGCCTTACGCTTGATTCTCGCCGCAAGATGCTTTGCAGTGTTGTTTCCACGCAACATGGCGCTTTGTTGTGACGCCTTATTATATGGCTAGCTCCGTGAGCGGGCAAGATGAGCCGAATCCTGCTATGTGATTGGCTACCCGAGCGGGCAAGATCGCGCTATCTTGTCCGTTGGGGATTACCCGCTGTATTCCGCGAGAAAATAGTGTTCTTTTTGTCAATAAACAGGCAAAAGGAGAACTTGGCCAATATCCAGCCATCTTGCCCTCACAGTTGGTCAATAACCCATATATACTGACTTTGCAATTTTTGAAAACTGGTGAGCGCTCGCGAAAATTTTTAATCAGGGGCAATCACAATGGAAAATTCTACATTGTCTATATAAAGATTTCCCACTGGGCCGTTAAACTCTGTATCTGGGAAACGTCCTCACTCGTAAAAGTTTATAAAAGGTCTCTAATGACTGTACAACGCCTGGTACAATGCTGTAATAAGCAGAACAATTTCTTACCTTGTTGTTCAGGAGATCCAAAGTGTATAACTGAAGCTGGATATAGTTTGTTCTGCAAACAAAATGAAGAATAATTCCATACAATGTCTGTAAACCTTTCACCTTAAAATCTTCGATTACCATGACTTCATCAGGTTGCTTAGCAACATAAGAACATCTCTGTCGAATACCGCAAAACTGTGGGCTCAGTCAATATGGAATACCATTATAAACTTGTCGTATATGGAATACCATTATAAAATCGCTTGTTTTCACAACAGCATATGTCGACAAAGAAGACCGCAATTATTTACCTCGAACAAACTTGCGTTTGATTTGTCAAGGACTCTTCTTGGTGGTGTAGTGTCTACATATATAAAGCAGATAATATATAGATTTAGGCCAACCTAAAAGCGTAGCTCCTGGGCCGGGTTGTTCAAAGCCCGATTAAGCTAACCCAGAAAAAGGTAGAATTTTGATTTGAGTTTTGTAAATTTGCGGTGAGGTTTTCTGTATATTGTTTGGCCTTCTGTTTAGAGTTTTAATAATCACCCTATACAAAAACCAAAACAGCAAAAAACATTTGTATAGAAGAAAAAGTCATAATTTGGTTAACTTTTTATCCTGGGTCAGCGTTAACCGGCTTCCGAGCAATCTTGCCCTGTTTCCAACAAGTTAACCTAATATGAGCCCGCGATCCAATCGATAAACAGAACTTGGTCAGCGGTCAACTTCAAAAAAACACGTGACCTCGAGGAGCAGTAAACTTGAGCCCGCAATATGGTCACGTGATACTGGTCAGCGGATACCTTGTTTTGACAGGTGTCAATTGATCATGTGAGGGGAGAATTTGCCGATACTTCATAACCATAAAAAAGCCAACAGTTAGCAGTCAAGTGAAAGTCCAATAACCATGGTAACCACCTGTCTATCTGTATCACCGTGTAACACCTTGTAGTGAGAACTACCTGAAGTTGTAAGTAGTTAGTATTTACGAGCAGAATAACTGACTGCCTATAATGGAATAGCCTAGAACAACGAGCTCATTGGCAGCCAATAGGGGTTAAGGCTTACTAAACGAAATATTAGATCACTTGTTTAGAGTCTAGCATAAATACAGGTGTTTTGTANATTTCTGATTCTTCTCGTACTTCCCGCATAGCTCTTGTCATTAAAGGGGCGCTGTCTGCCTGCTTTCTGATATTTAAAAGAAAAAAATAAATAAACTTAAATCTCCAAATCACTGTCACCCATTCTCTGATAAACTAAGAGATGCTGTGTGAGTTGTTTAACAGACGAGGAATAACTGAATTGGAATTCCAATTCCAGCATTTGAGCAGCCCAAGAGTTTTCCCAATATTAGCAAATTTGCCTCGAGTCTACTTTATCGCTCCTCTCTTAATTTTACTCTCCACTTGTTTCTCGCTATCGTTTGCAATACACATGTAATTGTATCAATCAGTAACATTTTTGAAACTCAAGAATTGTACTCTTGTTGCTACCGTCTTTTCAACATAAAATCGTGAAAGGTTTTTCTGTTTTTTGGGGGGGGAGGGTTTTGTTTTTTTTCTTATCAACATGCATATTTGCATATCTTTCAGAATAGTTCAAGTAAACAAGAGCACCTCTTGTAGAGCCATTATTTGAAAAATGTTTCTTCTATAGTACCTTTCATTCTTCAAGTCTCTTAACATAACACGGATGTCATCCACTGTCACCTCAAAAAAGGAATCTGGAATCTCACCTATATTTAAAATAAAATACAATCACAGGAATTAATGGCAGCTTCACGCATTGTGAAAATGACGATTGACGGAGATTTGAGAGTAAAGGTAATTCTCTAGTACCTACCTTCATCAGGTTTGGGTGAAGATGGATCTTCTTCACTAAATACAACAGGCTGTCTGTCACAAGATGTTGCCAGAAATTCTTTACGAGAAGAATCGGCCCTGATGAGAAAAACAAGCAACATTAGAGGGGATTGGAAGATGTAATAGAGGGTACTAAGCTGGTTGCAGCATTATATTACTAAAGGGCAGAGAAAATTATAAAAATAACCAAACATGTGTAAGAACGCCACCATACTTGTGCAATGAACATAGCACTAGTTTTCAACCCAATGTGAAATAAATCTTTATTATTCTTGTTTGGAATAAAGTATTCCCCTCATTACTTCTNGTTCAAGTAAACAAGAGCGCCTCTTGTAGAGCCATTATTTAAGAAATATTTCTTCTATTGTACCTTTCATTCTTCAAGTCTCTTAACATAACACGGATGTCATCCACTGTCACCTCAAAGAAGGAATCTGGAATCTCACCTATATTTAAAATAAAATACAATCACAGAAATTAATGGCAGCTTCACGCATTCTGAAAAAGACGATTGACGGAGATTTGAGAGTAAAGGTAATTCTTTCGTACCTACCTTCATCAGGTTTGGGTGAAGATGGATCTTCTTCACTAAATACAACAGGCTGTCTGTCGCAAGATGTTGCCAGAAATTCTTTACGAGAAGAATCGGCCCTGATGAGAAAAACAAGCAACATTAGAGGGGATTGGAAGATGTAATAGAGGGTACTAAGCTGATTGCAGCATTATATTACTAAAGGGCAGAGAAAATTATAAAAATAACCCAACATGTGTAAGAACGCCACCATACTTGTGCAATGAACATAGCACTAGTTTTCAACCCAATGTGAAATAA